CTACATAATCTGAGATTTTCAAAGAATGGACACATTTCTGTGATGGAAATGATTTGAGTTTAATTGAATTACATTGGGAGAAGTGTACCATAGGCACTACAGTCTACTGCAGTGCTCCACACTGTGTTTTGTTGTTCTTTTTTATGGTGGCCATTTTTAACATGTTATTGTAAACTGAAAAAGCTTTCATTTTACAGACAGGGAAAACAGATTATGTTGATATTATGGATAAAAATTAGGTAGAAGAAAAGGGAACAGAATAAAGTAGCATGAGTTGTATAACATTCATTCAGGGGTTGAACTAATCCCCTATGGTATCCGTGGAAGGATTTTAATTGATTTTAATCTTGATTGGTTCAGTCTTTGAAACAAATTGTAGTGCATGAGTAGCATACAGGCAAGTAAACAGACGAGAATTTTTGACCTCATCGTTATAAAGTGAAATAAAAGCAATTAAAATTAACTTCCTTCCAAGAATAGTATTCTAGCACCATTATCGTTCAGGATCAGTTCCTAAAACAGGATTAATTGTCACCATATCTCAGGATTAATATGGCATGGGAATAAACCAAGGCATAATACGTTAATTATAATTTTGAGGAAGAACAGATGACTGGTCAAGGCATACTCCTGGTTATTCCGTTGTACACCCCAATCAAAATGCACAACAAATTTAGATTTAAATTGTAAGGACTCAGTAGCTCATGCTACAGAAAAGGAAATCATCCATGGTAAGGTTTACTGGACAGTCTTTCTATGTAATAGAAAAGAATCTTGATTATCATTCACAATAGTCAGTGTTACATCTAATTTCATTCAAAGGGAAAAACGTACACAAGAGTGACTTAGCTGCAAAGTAAAGATGCTTACTAAAACAATGTATTTTGCAATATTTTGATACAATTGCAAACACATCAAGGCATCTCGATGCATCTAAAATGTTGATTATAAAACTTTGAGAGCTGGAGATGTTTTAATTAGATTATGCCTTAAAGACTGTTGGATAGGAACTTAGAGGCTAATGAGGTTTGCTTATTTGTTTATTTATTTATTTTATTTTTAAGGACACAGATAACATGTAAGTTAGAAATCAAAAGGCCAATGCAAGGTCAGATGGCTGCTGGGATAAGAACAACAGAGCGTAGGAGGTGAACTAAAAGCTCCTTCAAAGGCCTGGAGCTATAAAATGAGCAATCTGCCTTTAGGGATAGTGCCAAAAGAAAAGAAATATAATTAGGCATTTTTGAACATCCATGTTACTAAACATACAAGCAGGCAGAGCACACTCCATCCCTGCTACTAATAGCTGCAAGCCAAAGATGCTTGAGCAAGAGGAGAAAGCAGGAAGACTTACTGGCTGTGACTCATCTCAGAGGTAACGGTTTTGGTCCTCCGACTGCAGAAGTTGGAGGGTTTTTGCATCTTGCTGAAGGATCGGTCATCTTGGCCAGAGCAACTAAGTAGAGTAAGAGATTTTCTAAGTAGAGAAAATATAGCTGGAAACTCCCTAACGTCAACTTAGAAATACGGATAACCAAGATGAAGCATAGTGTCTAGCATTCAGACCTGAACTAGCACCTGCAGTATCTGAGGAATGATGGACCAGTTGGAGCAAAATATCATTGATGTGTTTTACACTAACAATTTGCATATTGATTAAACCCCATAATTTAGATTGCCTCAGTGTTGCTCTGAGCTGTTGTACTGATACCTGTCAGCCTCTTAACTGCGTATGGAAGAAAATTACTTGTACTGTCAATAGCTGTTTACCTTTATTAAAATAATTAGCAAGCGGAGTGTACTTCACTGCTTTGCACATAGGGAGTCTAATTAACTTCCTCCTTTGGATTTATACCTCTACTGACAAACAAATGGAAAGCTATCCCATGTCCTCCATCATGGGGTTGTGTCTGTCTTGATTCTGGAAAGGCAAATACTGGTTCAAACGAGGACACACTTTATGACAGAGATTTGTCATTCAATCTTTTGAACGCATCGCACCGCTATGCTGCCTCATTCACCACAGAGCATTATTCCGCACGTTACCCTGAGTGATGCACTGCAATGACAAAGTGTTAATCTGCACTAAAAATTTAAAAGACATACAGCTATTTTCATCAGAGGAAGCTGCTGCTGATTCATCTGCAGTCCTTACCAGCTGAGGTGAAGTGGCAGCCATATCTCCCAAAGCTATTATACATCATGAGAGAGCAATCCTTCAGTTCGACTTCCAGCAACAGAAGCTAGAAAGTAAAATTGCTTCGTAAAAGGATGAAGTCCAGTACTCTTTTTTTCTCCTACTTAAATTAGCAATATATTACTTAAGTGAAATAGTATGACTTCTCTATTATTTGCAGATAATTGTCAGAGAGGCTTAAGTACATCAGGCGTCATTATAGTCTCAGACATGATTTTACTCTGAAAATACATCAGCATACCTACTTGTTTCTGTGCGAGCTGTCCCAGCTGTTTCTGTAGCCGTTTCTGCTCATCTGCTGCGGTAGCCGGTGGGGCAGCCGGTGTCCTCAGGCAGAGAGCAGAGCCGGGGTAACAAAAGCAGTAGGAAAGGCTGACGCTAAGAATTACCTCTTTTGAAGACACAGAAGAAGGAGATACACATAGTAATGTAATTTCAACCCAGCTTTACTTTGAAGGTTTGCGGGGACTGGGCAAAGCTTGTTGCCCGTGCGACGTATTGCAGCAAAGGTATCAAAATTTGGTGGGTTTGTGCGGGTTCAATCGCAAAGAAATACTGGTTTTATCTGCCCCCCACAGTGTGTGGATTGCATCCCCTGGGACCGCTCTT